ACTAACCGATTACCTCTCGATCTCCGACTTGCAGTGGAATACACTGGTAAGTCTGGAACATCAGTTTTCTTTCAACAGTTTAAATTACTCACGAGCGGATTCCGCCGAGGAATCTGCGATCTAAATAGAATACCCTACGGTACATCCCTCACCAGACTATTGGAGTGAATAGTGATACGGATAATCCCGTATTGAACAAGCCATTTCACACTATAGTCTGTGAAGGCCATACAATCTTCGAGGTGTGTCGTGTGGTAGTGATACGGACATAATATCCCGTATTGAACAAGCTATCCATACGACACATACGAGAATTTTGTCGGACTACGTACGTCGTCACGTCGCCGCAACCAGATTGAATATTTTGATAGTCGCCGTAATTACGCCACCGTCATCGCTCGCGCTAAGATCGCCTATAACTTGATAGTCGCCGTAATACGCCACCGTCATCGCCCGCGCTTAGATCGCATATAACTTGATAGTCGCCGTCATACGCCACCGTCATCGCCCGCGCTTGGATCATCTCTATTGACACTCGTCATAAAACATCACCGTCATATTCCAGATCCACAGCTGCCGATACACCGTGGGACGAGTCATCATCGCCGTTCCCCGAAATATTTATACCCAACGTGAGTTGCGTTGTAATATCTCTATATAAATATTATATAACTGTGACTCGAAGAGTATACGTATTATGAAAAGAATATATTGTAAACTTCTGTGAATAAAATATCTGTAGCTCGAAGAGCATTTGTTCGTTTAGAAGAAAATATTATAAAATTCTTAGGCGAATATGTTTGAATTTATTTAAGTAAGAATAAAAACACATAATTATATATTATAAGAAATCATTGTGTGTTGTATTCTTACATATTATTGCGTATTGCTATAGGTACATTTGTCATATTAATAATATACAAATCGTACTTATTACATATGTGCCTAGTAGCTATTACCCGATTCTCGAGATTGAAGGAGTCACTGCATCGACTTATTTTACGTCGTATACACCAGAGTTTTTTCTGTGAAAAATTAATTGGAAACAAACTACCACAAAGACAAAAAGTAAAATTGTCAACAATGTATATCGCTGTGTGCGTGTTTGAACTATGACCAATTATCTTGTATAATAACTAAGTTTATAGAAAAAAATCATGATTTTAGTCTAAAAAAAAAATTTCTCCCAGTTTAATATTGTACAATCAAAATGCAGTTTTTCTTAATTTCTAAAAGAACACGTCCTTAAAGGCGTCAGAGCTGATATGTTTTTACTTTTTAGTAAAAAAACATGTTTTTCAGGTAAAGCTCTCACGTTCTATAAAACAGTCAGATATTGTACATTTTTTTTTTATTTGGAAGAAGAGAACATTATGCAGGTCAAACTAAAGCCCAATTTTCAAGACTATAATTATTACAGAAGCTAAAATATGCATTTGAATAATGCACAATGTTTGTCTATCACTAGTCAAAGTAAAATGAAAATTCGGGCTTTGACCTGACAAAAAAAAAAGTTCACATCTTCCATAAAAAAAAAATATCGGAATTCGACATATCAATGAGGCATGAGTTTTTCCTAAAAAAACCATTTTTCTTGATAAAATACACCACATCACCCTCCCCCCCACCCATAGGTATTAGGCAATAGATAAGCGGAACAATATTATAATTATGGTGGAGACTAAAATATAAGATTTCGTTTTAAAATTGTATAGAATTGAGGAAAATTTGGAAAACCAGCACATAGGACACCCTTAAAAAAGTAATATATCATAATATTATTCATCAATTTACAGTGATGTAGATTAAAATATGATATATTTGAAATAAAGTTTATTTAGTAATAGACACGATACTACAACATTTTATTTCCTACAGTTGATTTATTATAATACTGGCAGACCACAAATGTGTTTTAAATTAATAATGTTTTTTTTTTTTTGTTATTGTATTTCATGATAATTAATTAAGCATACGAATACACATATTTTATTTCGCAATAAGTATTTTTAACATTAAGATAATATTTTTTATACGGCGTAAGTGTTATATAGTGAACACAAGAGTAGGAAAACGGACAATTATTTGGAGATAGATGACGGTTTGAAAAACAATTAATATTTTATAAAGAGATTCTTATACACTGTGATATATAAAGTTTTGTTTAATATTGCAAGCTATACAGATGTTATTGTAAAGGTCAGCTCTTGGTGTTTACAAGAGGACGTAATATTATGGCAAGAAGCTGGTCTTGGTGCAATTTAATTTCGGAACGGAATCGTAAGAGAAGGATATTGTAAAAACAATAAAACAATCGATTTAAAATAATCGAAAATAATAATATAGCCACGACAGGGTCGAAAATAATAATATTACGGACAAGAAAACGAAACCACGTCCGTTATTTTGAATGCGTCTTTATAATATTTTTTCCCACAATATGACCAACTCTAAGGACACCTACGTTTATAAGAGTTATGCGATAACGAATAACAAAAATTGAGTAATTAGTATGCGGAACGAGCACACGATCTATGATCATCAAATTTAGAAGTTTTCAAACTTCACATGGTTTCTGTATAGTCAATGTGTATAAATAATATTACATTACTCATAGTTTCTTACGTTTACTTTAAGTAATCGTTTTATCCACGAGTAGAATTTTAAATTTTTGGCAGTTGAACGATATTGATAGAATTTATTGTCATATACTTACACCCACAAAATATGGTATACATAAGTCATAAATAAATACCGAGTAACGGGTATATAAATCAAAAATCGAATGAGTAGTTTCTGTCATTTCTGAGTTATTAAAAATTGTGCAATAAGGATCATAGAAATAGATATTAAAAAATATTTCTGAACATTGATCATTTATAAATAATAATAATAATAATAATAGTAATTAATATTTGGTAGGTTATTATTTATCATTGTATAATTTATAAAAAATATCTGATGACAAAAAGACTAAACATTATGTCTTTTGATATTATTTTATTTAAAACCTTTATTATTGTGTATAAAGACTTTTCTTGTACATAAGGTATATTAGAAACAATTTGTTTGAATTATTTTAATGTATACACTAATTTTTTGTTTTTCAAAAAATTAATCTGCTTCATAAGTTAAAAACACGGAAAGCCATTCAGCTGCATAGTAAGTTTTGAGTGAACATTATAATTTGAAAGCCAACTTTAATGGATAACGTGTTCTTGAACATAAATATACATAAATATTTATATTTAAAGATAACTCTACATACGAATAACGGTTCTAAGCAGGATTGAAGAATCTATTTTAAACGATATATTGTTTTAAAAATGATGTTTGTTGTACATTATATTACTACTATTAATTTATTTTCATATTAGTATTACCCCTTATACATCCGTAGCAGACTACGCTGACGATAAAGCAATAATATCTATGAGCAATGATCCACTCATAGCGTCATATAATCTCCAAACTCACCTTAACTACATGGAAAAATGGTTTACTAACTGGCGATTCAAAGTAAACCAAAGCAAATCTGTTCATACTACCTTCACCCTCAAGCATGCTTCCTGTTCTACAGTTTTTCTATACGGTATTCCTATCCCTTACTCTCCAAAAATCAAATATCTCGGGCTCACTCTCGACCAAAGGTTAACCTGGGCTCATCACATTAAAATCAAAAGATTAGCACTGAACCATCGTCTCCGTATCCTCAAACCCTTATTAAGCAATAACTCTTTCGCCATTAAAACCAAAATTCTGATTTACAAAACACTTCTCAAACCCATATGGACATACGGACTCCAACTCTGGGGAAACGCTAAAAAGTCTAACATATTAAAAATTCAAACATTTCAAAATATCGCTCTCCGAAAAATAATGAATGCACCACCCTACGTGTCTAATCACACCCTTCATACTGACACCAAACTCAAAACAATTAACGATGAAGCCAAAATATATTATAAAAGATTCTATTCCAAACTAATTAACCACCCTAACGAACTCATAAAAAACTTATCTACTCCTTCCATACCTGGTAATCCCCCTAGACGCCTGAAGCGTAAGTGGTGTCGTGATCTCTTAAGATAAGCTAAAAAAAATAAAATCCATAGAAAGTGCCATCGATGGGTGGCTTCTTTCATCAAATTTCCATGTCAAACTTTGTAACTCTCAACATATATGCTTATTGTGTCAATCGATACAGATTGTGTATTACGTTTAAAAAAATAAAAAAAATAAATATATTAGTATTACGACGTTTTTAACAAATAGTTGTCCACAATTTAATTTAGTGTACTTTATAACTATACTGTAATGAATATTGTGAATGAATGTATGATATTTAAAATGTTGTGAGCATTTATTTTTTTAGTTTTTTCATCAACATTTGTGTGCTAGTGAAAATGCTCCAATTTTCGATATCAGCATCTTTTCTGATAGAAAAGTGAATTTAATTTGTACATTTAAGAGGTCTCCAGTAGTTTTAATAAGCGTCAGGAAAAAGAAAAAAAAAGTGAAAAAAATGGTAATTTATAAGCAAAACCAATTTTTGAAAAGATCGGTTTTATTTTTTCGATGTAACTCAAAAACTAATAACCGTACACACTTTAAATTTACTGGAAAGTAACATTTTTTTTTATTTAAGCTTTCCAATTTTAAAATGTTTACAATATTTAATTTTCACCGGTAAATTAAAAAATTTCCATCAATTGATTTTTGATATTTTATTGTTATTCAAAAAGGATTTCTGCTGAAATTCTAAATTTTCAATAAAAATGTATATAAGCATCTCCAATACGTCATGGTAAAATGATCAAACAATTTTGAATCTTTTTGAGCTATTTATATTCATAAGAAAAATTAAAAATTTTGCTAATTATTTTTCAGTTAGAAATACATAAATGCTTTTCTTTTTATAGCTAACATTAAACATTTTAATAGAAGATTCCCCACAAATTATTCTACCTTTAATAAACAAACAAATATTTACCAAAAAGTTACGTTGTGCAATGTTTTATCATTTAATTCAAATCTAACATAAAAAATAATGACATACTCAACAACTACTATACAGGAAAGCGTACCTACTTGTCCACTTTTTTTTGTGAAATCTTTGTTTGATTTAATACATTTATACACGTTATACAACCATGTATAATATATATTTTACGTTTAAAATCAGTAGTCAGTTGTTGTTACAACTGTGTAAAAAAAAAATTTGACGACAAAAATGACACAAGATTTAATTCATTGTGTGCCTATAATATAAAAAAATAATGAATAAATGAATAATATAAGTGAAAAATTCTAAGCGATCATAAACGATTAAAGAAATAATAAAAATTGAAGAGTTTTCACAATAGTTTATCAATTTGTTTATCATTTTTAGTAAATATAGATACTTAATAATTTGAATACATTTTATTAGATTATGTTATTATTATTTTATAAGCATAAACAAAACTCAAATGTACCAATTAATATATGATTTTAATCATTTTTGTCTAACACCAAAAATTTAATAATCATTCTAAAAATACTTAAATCATATAGAAATGTATTAGCAGTTATAAATATGTTTAAATATTCCGGTAATATTTGAGTACCTATTTTATTACGGTTTATGTTGACCTCAATGTTTATCTGTAGGTTTCTTATCTTTAGGGTTCTTATCAGTATTGTTTGCTGAAGATTACTTTTTTTCATTCTTTTTATTCTTTTTCTGTAATAATTTGTTTTCTTTTTCTTGCTTCTGCAGTATTTTTAAAGCTTTAGATTTTTTTTTCTTGTCTGGGAAATTTTGTTTTTGCCATTTTTTATAAACTTTTTTGAGTTTTTCTAATCTTGTCTTAATTTGTCGCTCTGAAAATATAATATTTAATATCTATTAATTTATAATATTATAAATTTATAAGCAATCACACATTTATGCAAACTGTTGTTAATGTTATCATAAATTATAATGATTTAAAATATTCATTAAACAATAATTTAACAACCCTAACCAGTGGTCAGTATTGACATTAAGGCCCGGTAAAAAGCGAAACGCAGCTTTCATCATATCTGGTTAGTAAGATGTTTGATGTCATGTTGGATATAATAATATAAAATTGCGATATGGAAAACTAAAAAACATTGTTTTTGAAATCGGCAATGATAAATTATACTTACATTTCCAATGTATAGATATTAAGAGGATATCTAATATTATATAACACATCCAAAGGGGACGGTCTAAAGACCCTTAGCCCCACCCCCTCTCGCTCCCTTGGATCCGAGCCTGAGTTTCAGCTCACCACTTGAGTGTTATCTTACAGATCACGAAAATTAAAAATACACGATTTACAACATCCACCTTGGTACTTAAAAAACAACCACACCGATTACATTATAATATTAATAAAAAACTTTAAAAAAACTAACATAACAGAAACCGAAATGACGATTATTATGCTAGAATGTGACGAGAATTAATATTATATTCGACCAGGATAATCAATTATGGTCGACGAATTTCAGAAAAATTGACAGACACCGTATTCAAGAAACACCAGACACATGTTGATATTTTTCTGGCGACCAACATAGACTTAGGGAAAGCTGCTCTAGCAATGGTGGTACTCAGCAATTCACACTTACCCATCAACAACTGTACCCACGAGGTCACAGCTAAGCCCAAACCTAACATGTTTCCAGCAGTCAATTGCATTACAGACAACCACGTTTCTCCCTTCTTTTTCAGGTTAAGACCCCTAACGATTACATTTATAATATTTACATCATATTTTATGATTAATAATAATAATAACTTCATTAAATAGTACAACAACCCTTGTATACTTTAGTTTTAATTTTTTATTTACTTTTGCATGCTTAATTATTTTTGTATGTTATTGTTATACTAAAAATACTTTCTTATTAATTAAATAAAATAACAAGTATAAATCACTTTCAAAAGAATTAGTTTATTGGAATTTTCAAAATAATGGGAAGACTACATAACCAACCAGTACCCAGTGGCGTATTTAAGGGGGGCGTGGGGGCAATTGCCACCCGGGCAGAAAATTGTACAGGCGTGTTGTAAGTTTCGTTATGTGTGAAACAAATTGACACTATGAAAAACCCTGCATGGGTAAGAGGGTATTAAAAAAAATGTGTTCCCCGGGCAACAAAATACCTAAATATGCCACTGCCAGTTCCTATGATATGATATTGAAAAAAATGCAGTTTGTAATTATTAAATATCGAACATATAGTTCCATAATATATTTTTCAATAGGGTATAATTTAAAACAATAAAATACGTCGCCTATGTACAATCAGTACAATTATATACACAATAAGTAAAAAAGAAATTAAGAAAAAAATAATTGAAGTTAGGTACATACGTGAATCCACTCACAAATAATTTACACTGATTTTTTTTTTTGTTTTCCAAATCTTATCTTGGGATATAAAATTGAAAATCTATTAAATCATAAGATCATCATCATCTTCATTTTAAATCTGCGATGAAGATTTTTTAGTATTGTAAAGGTGCCTATGTAAGCTGGATTTGAAATATAATAATATAACCAATGTTACATAAATCATCGTGTTAGATAGTTTTAAAAATATTCCATTAATTATTCATAATATACATACGTCTCTAAGATAGAGGAGCACTCGTTTCGATTTGTTTAAAATCCCAAATAACTAAACTATTTAATACCTATAGTTTTTTTAATACCCGACTTTATCTTCTCACATATAACCGTTGAATTCCATATTGATATATTATATATAGAGTTTAAAATATGTTATAGAATATTTTAAAATAATACATTTTAATTCGTAAGATTATTTACCTGCATATTTTTGTAATATCTCAAACACATTTTTCAAATACTTTGGAAATGATCTATTTTCCAAGATATGATCGATTATAATGTAATTAATTTCGGTCAATTGTTCTTTGACCGGTTCCGTCATCGTACCAAATTTTTGTTCAAACCCTTCTTGTCTTAATCTTAACGTTTCTTTGTGCGCTTCGGCACGAGTTGCCAAATTCTTTTGCCGATATTTTGTTGCTTGTCCAGCTTCTACTAGCACATTCTATCCAAACAATAAATTATAATATTAAATATGAAAAACACATCTAATTAATTATGATGTCAATAATTGCACATAAACACTAGCTAAATTCATAGGTACGACCTTTGCAATTCATTTATAGTGGAAATCATATTTTTAAAGAGAAAATGTTTAATATCCGTAAAATATCAATAATACTACCGAAAGAAATATTTCCAAAATCGGTGTATCCATCTATAAATTATATATTATGTCGGTAACCCTTCACCTCTATGAATATTATAAAGTAAATAGATAGATTTACAGTTTACGTATACACGTTTGTACGATGGTTGACAATATTATATAGGTAAGTACCGAAAGGTAATATGTCTAAAAAAATAATAAATCAGAATAAATCATGGCTAGGTACCGTTAATTTGTTTTTTAATTTTTTGTACAGATTACGATCTCACGATGTACGAATATCCGGCTTTTTGTATATGGTTTCCGGTTAGTGTGGTCGATAAATTATTAATAGGCACCACGCACAGAGAATAAGAAAAGATTTCGTATTTCTGCCAGAAACGTGAAAAATACACGATGTACATTCTGCATGAACACCACAATATTTTATCATACAAAGTATAACGTTAAATTTAAATTCGTGCGTATACCACACCCGTGGTTGATACCCAACATATAATATATCATAGTTTATTATATTCACATGGAAACTCACGTCGATGGCCAAAATCGCAATGGATAACGTCAAAAACGTCCGGATGGGTACCATTATAAAGGTGTGTTGTTTGCCCGCGACACTATAGTCGATTGCGATTGTGTTTATCGAAATATTCGTGTGACATTGCGCCCGTAGCTTTTACTTTTTTGAATTTTTAATGTTTACGAAAAAAAAACATTTTTGCAACGTCAACTACTCGATTTGAATATAAAAACGAAATAATCGTTCGCATGTGGTTATTAGTACGTTTATCGAGTATTTTCAGGTTTCCTTTTTGACGCGTAAAGTAGACGCTACATACGTGTACAATTACTATATCGAGGAAAAATATTTGCATTATAATAATAGATAATGGAAATTGTGCATCGCTACAAAACATTTTTTTTTTTTTAACAAAACAAATTACAAACAGATTTTCTTTTGTGGCTAGAATCAGCACCACTTCATGCCATACGGCTGATGAACCTGTATTTCAGCAGATTGTCGAAGGTGTTAATGTATGGCGTGTTGAACTTGTATGAGTGCTAAATAAAAAGAGCAGCCTGTTGACGCTGATTAACTACTCCGATCCACACAGTTTAAGTTGAAATATTCGCAATCCATCGAAATCACGCTTTTGTTTTTAATTCATCATGTTATTGTATCTACTGCATTTTTACATTGATATTAAGAACATTGCGACTGCATTTTTGAAATCACATGTTTATAAGGTGTTTACAAATACGTATTGTAAATTGTAGTACACTCGTAGATACATTTCAAGCATCGTGTATAAAAATCTACATAGGTACCTAGTAGTACCTATTGTTTATTTTCCATAAGTAAATCAGGTAATATAATATTGTTGCTATTTTCGAGTTTCAAACTATAATAACATGTACCTACGTCCATGGCAAAATAATTGTATGCTAATAAATAATATATATTTACATAATATTACCTAGCTAAGCATATTTTTTTTATAATTTAGAGATTTAGTAGCTTACTAATATATAATACAAAACACTTGCTGCCTATCAAAAATCTCAAAATTAATTAAAAATTCCTTATGGGTGTCCAAAATAAATATAAACACAGTAAAGGCTTGCAGTATATATTACCTTAAAAGCGAACATATAACGATAACATTATTACAATAAACTTTAGTTGTGTATGTCTGCCGAATTAAACTTAACGTTTTGTGTAACCCAGCCAGATCATTTGTCAGAAAAATAATTATATTTAGATAAGTATACAATATTACTTATTATGTTGAAGTTTTGATTGGATTTCAGTAAGTTTGATATCAAGTTATATTATAGTTATATATATGAATGAGGATTAAATTATTATTATTATCTGCTCATAATAGGTAGGTAAAATTATATATGCATATACCTTTATGAACTATGCAGTCTCTCACAATGCACTTATAACTCTCTTTTTTTGGCTTTGTAATATAAGATATTTCAATTTCCAAATGGTTGATACTGTTTAAAAAATAATATAAGCAAAATTATCAAAGTAAGGTTTTTTTTATTAGTAATTTAATGTAAAATTGCTAAGCTTAGATCGATAAACATTAAACATATACATATTTGAGATTTTCAAGAAGAAAAATGTGATAAGTATTGATCCGGAATAGTTACGTATCACCTCGTATCGGGGTCTGAGTCCGATACTGGTCGGTAAGTATCGCTTGTATATTGCACGTGTAACATCTTGAACGTTCAAAATTGACCCGATACGTACCGATACACTCCAAATTCTTTCTTGAAAATCTGGATTGTAAATAATTCGAAGACAACATTGTATATCTCAATATTTTTGTTCTTTACAACTTTACTAAAATATTTCTAAAAAAATATTATTACATATTGTTTTGGTAATCACAATTATAACATAAATGTTAAACACTGATATTATTAGCTCTAGATATCAGTTTCGATGTTGTAGAAAACACGTTTAATTCACATAACCTTTATACATACTTGCAGCGCCATCTTTTAAATAAATACTGAAACTACAGTTGGTTTAAACTTTTAAAGCATCAAATTTAAAACATTAAATATTAATTAAACAAAGAAAAATAAATTTAAATTAAGCTAATTAAAATAAATTCTTTTGATATAAATGACTTGTAAATCTTTAATAAAAAAAATAAATCTCCATTATTTATTTGTATACAATAAATTGGATTATTTAAGTACCAAACAATCTCGCCTTGACAATGACGTTCACAGATAGAAAGTATTTATTATGTCAAATTATTTGCTAAAACATATTTTTTAATTTTTATATTCACAACATTGTGAAATGTATTAATATTAATCTTTACTTAGCATACACTCCAGAAAAATTTAGCAGAAAAAAACATAGTATGCAAGTACATGGAAATCTTTGTTTTTTTCAAATAAATATTTGACATATTAAAACATTTTTAGATACAATTAAAATATTAAATAAATTATATTACCGACTAACCGATGTCATTGTATAAGTATTTAAATATTGCACAAATATATAATAACAGTTCTTAGTTTTTCCAAGTATTTAATAATATGTACAATGTACATTGCACAACGAAAATATTAAAATACCCATCAATAAACATAAAATATCATCATGGACTTAGTGTAAAGTATAATATAACGTTTCATTAATTAATCAAAATAAATTAGGAATAACATCGTTATTAATTGTAAAATAAAATAGCAAATGTAAAATATATTTTTTTTTAACAACAGGTTTAGAAATAATATAATACACTACAACAGTATTAATTTATTGTTATTCTGTATTTAAAATATCATATTATGCCAACCGACAACCAGGCTTCAACTGATAGAGGACTCTGCTATCTAGTACTATATAGAAATTTGAGTATGGAACGTGCTTTGGGTATAAAAACCGTAACACCTACTATTTTAAGCCCTAGGTTTTTATATAGTACCATATCATACAGTTTGGTGTTTCACAATACTAGTTTCTTATTTTTTCGATGGTGTTTTGAAGACAGTGTAACATTTGTTACACCCTGTATATAGTATACGCCTACACTAAATGCATACTATATAAATTACCAACACAAAATTAAATACACTTTGTCACTTTGACACTCCATCTAAATTATTATATATTGTTAAAATGACACATAGCAGTCAGTTCGACGTTCACCATCAATACGAGCCAGCGAGCTCAAATAAACAATTATTATTAACCGTATTTCAATATATATACAGTAACTTACCTACTGGCTACTATTCATAATACATTAGTACATTAATAATTATTCTAAACTTGTAAACCAGACGTGTTTTTTTTTATATACATATATAAACCTCCTACACAAGTGCTCAAACCCCTATCTACGGAAAACTTATACATACGGAATAGAAATCCTTTCCTTGGAGAGGATAACTAGTATAGAAATAAGCAAATTATATTTAGTTGGAAATTCATAAATTTTTTACTGCATACAAAATTGCATATTTACACAAAGAATAACATTTATCATTTTGTTGTAATTCGGTTAAAAAACAGCCCAATTTCACATAGGTATATTATATTATACATAGATATTTTTCATAGGTATTATATTATACATAGATATTTTTCTAGCATCACTGAAGAATAATATTAATTCAACTTACCGACTACCATATTGATAATAAGTAATAACAATATAAAATATTATAGGCAGACATACAAAAATATCTAATATTATTTCAATGCTCTGTTTTTTATGTCAATTGCATCATTTAAAAGTTAAATTGGTACTAATATTCGGTAACCCTAGTGTTGTTGTACACCCGGAGGGTATTATTATTATCATCATACAATTTACACGTTAAATATTAAAAAATATTTTATGTGAGCTACCCTTTACACCTAGGGTATGAAAAATAGTTTACATCACTCTCTGAGAACTACTTAATAAACACAAAATTTCATAAAAATCGATCCAGCCATTTAGGAGGAATTTTACAACAAACATTTTCCATTGTGACACTAGATTTTTATATATTAGATTATTTTATTGATTTATTATCCCCTCTATTTGTATACCACTTTTAGCAGATGACGCTAACCAGTTCTCTTATATAGATCAAAATTAAAAAGATTTTTGTCGATTGATACGTCATCTAAATATCTAATAGTATATTACGACTATAAATATTCAAAATAATAAAGAAAATAGATCGTAATAAACTAAATATATTTAACTAATATTACACTCCAGATTTTACCCCCACAACGCAGTATTGTTAGATGATTATATTTTTAAAATATATTCTAATGGTCAATTTTTGAACTGTTTGGTCATCACCTTTAACAATGCCTAATTTAACTTAAACTCAAACAGAAAATAACAATCTTCTAGTTTCGTTCTTTGTGCCAATATTTTACAGAAAGACTTCATACATTATACTTCATCGACTGTAAATTCTAATAGAATTTAATTAATCAATTAGAGTCAATTGAATCTTCATAATATTTTCCTTTGATAACTAAACATTAGTTTTTATTATGTACTAGGTCCACATAATATAATATTATACTTTTATATCAATAAATACGTCATAAAACCAATAGTATAATGCGTATAATGTTTAAAAAATATACAAATTGTACCCGTTGTATTTTTTAAGGTTGAATATGTGCGTGATTATTGTGTCTAGACCTCACCTAATCTGTATCTAATCATCACTGGTAAATTTAGAAATATTAGTTGTTTTTGCGACTTTCAAAATCGACGGTGGCCCGCCCATTAATATGGGTTGTCAATGAGAGGTGCGTAGCATACACAATTTGATCGAATAAACTGAACTAAACTGATCTTTAGTCTTTTGGGATAGAGTATAGACAATATAATTTAAAAACAGCTATATATTATTATATAAGAATTCAAAAAATATTTTGTCGATTGGCAATTAATATTAATTATATTACTATGTTTATTGATTATATTATTACTCAGAATAGATAATGAAAGTTTAAATTCCAAATCCAAAAAATTTAGGTGACTGTGAAATATTTATCATTTCATGTCATAAAAAATCGTATTAAACATCTTTTAGCTTCATAAAATAAATGTAATTGTATTCCGGTGTGTAGGTGATTATAATATATCTTGAGGTATTGGATATAATATAATGACTTACCCCCCGACTGTGTGATCAATACACTTATAACATTTTTTGAAAATATTGTAAATTATTAATTTTAACAATTATGATTATGTATAATATTATTTGGTGTTTCATACTTCATATACATTTAAGGTTCATATTATAGTAATATATATCTAAAATAAATACAATAAAATGGATACACTCGTCACGAATGAAGAAGATTATATGAAAAAAACTAAAATTTATTATCTTTTCGTTAATCTACTAAAATAATTTTTCAAACCTTTTGGTATACTTATCTTTTTAAACGCGTTCTTAAATTTAAATTTTGAATTACTATACATTTTCCTAAACTTTGTTTTTCGAAAAGCGCCTGCTAATTTTGCCTTTGATTTACGAAAAGCGCGTGATACCTTTCCATTTGATTTACGAACAGGTTGAGCTGAATTTGATATTAGACCTTTTTTTGTTTTGTAAGCCTTAATACCAAAAGATCCAGTGGCAATTGTGTAGACAGTATCGCCCAATTCGAACTTCCATTCTGCGACTGGTATTTTTTTTCTCAGTCGAATCAACTGTCTTTTCACTATACTTGGAGTTAAAAATTTCAACCCACTTACGACATGTCTCACGCCAACTTTATCAGAAATATCTGACGGGAGTTTAACTGATTTCCAAATTAATATCTTAGCAATATCCGAAGGTACTTTAATAAGCACCCCAGCAGGGGCGCCGGAACGATTTTTTTGCTGTGGGGGCAAAATATTTTAAGCTTTATTCTAGAGGGCATAAGAGCAAAAATAGTGTTGTTTAATTTTTGGTGCTTAATCTTCACCTCTCCCCAATTTTTACACCACCTATGCTGGGAATAGGTATAATTAATAATAATAAGGAAGGTATAATTAAATTTTTTTCTTACAAATATTTATTAAACAAATTCAAATCATGTAGGTATAAAAATTTATTAACAATACAAATTACAGTTGTAATTAACTTTTTCACATGCACAGTTTCTTTGTTGTACAATCTTTAAACAAAAATCCCATAACTATATTTTATTATACAATATTAATAAATATAATATACAGTTTAAATTTTAATGAATAATTTACATTTTACCAAATACACTTTTTCTCTCTGCTGTACGGCTAATGAACTCTTTTAGGATATCATCCAAGGAAATCTCATACAAAATAGTTTGGTTTAAGTGTAATAGTAATAAATGAGTCAAACGCTTTTGACTCATAGTTGAACGTGTATAGGTTTTTAAACGCCTGAGCCCACTAAATGACCTTTCTGGTGTGGCTGATGCTGCAGGTATTGTGTATAACAGTATAATAAGCCGTTCAACTTGGTTCATCAATTGACGTGACGTTTCTGGCAATATTTTAAATATTTCAACAATATATTTTATTGTTGCTGAGGGATTATCAGAATTTAAAATATTGGGAAGCATTATTAATTGAGCAGCTAATTGATCTACATTAAAATCAGTTACGTGAAGACCGAGAAGTTTTTTTATTTCACTTATTTCAATTTTATCTCTATTGATTGAACGAATCAAAATAGTTTCCATTGATACTACTTTGTCTAACCCAGACTGAGTGAATCTTTCATTTAATTCGTTCAACAAACAATCAATTAAAGCAAAAAATTCTTTTCTTAAAGCAACTTTTTTGTTGATGTTGGCTGGAGGTGTGCGTGTAGTTGAATATTCAAGCTTGGCGGGGGGCTTACAAACTCTAGGATTTTTCGGCATTGTAAGGTTAAGATGTACGGCCAATTGTTTGGTTTTATTCCAAGTATCATTGAAAACATCATCATTACGTAACGATGTTAGAGTTTTTATTAACAATTCTGATGAATGTTTGGCTCCGATAGCAGTGTATGATATATTTTGCAAAGCTTTAGCTAACTGCTCACATGGACCCAAAATTAAAGACAAAGATTCCAGAGCAAAAACAGTTTCAAACTTCCAAAGTTTCGTCTCATATCCGCGGAGAGCTGCACGTCTATCTTTACTAATTGAATTTGAATCTTTTAAAATTTCCTGTACTGTTAAAAGAACCCTTTCATAATTTTCTATAAATCTATTAACTGCTTTTACTCGGACTGTCCATCTTGTAGGACAAAAAGGAATAATGCCTGGTATATTTTCAGTTGTATAGTCATTTTCTTCATCTAAGTTAGTCGAAAGAACAATACCAGAAAATATGTTTTTGCGTTTTGATGAATCTAAGATTGTATTGCTTACAAATCTGATTAAATTTAGAGCATCATTAGCAAAATCTACAGTTTTAATAGTATCACTCAATGCTAAGTCCAATGAATGATTTGAACAATGGATAAATATAGATTTAGGTTGTACATCAGAAATTCGCTTTTGTACTCCACTTATATGACCAGACATAGTTGCCGCTCCGTCAAAACAAAGTCCTCTAACATTTTCAAAACTAAGACACATACGTGTCAATAAATCATTGATGCAAGAAAATAATGTTTCAGCATTTCCACTTGGAGGATTATACATTCCCACAAAAATTTCGTTTATATTTAAAGAAATTGTATTTAAAAAACGAAAACAAATGCTAAACTGTTCCTGACCAGAAATATCTGTAGTGCCATCAGCCATTATGGCCATAAATGGACTTTTTAGAACTGAATTTTTAATCTTCCGTAAAACAAAATGCGCCATAGTTTCAAGTAACTCATTTTGAATATCCCCACTTAACCAATTGTTTCGTTTTTCAAGCCAAATTTTTAGTGCAGGATTTTCAAGTGAACGCTCTTGTAATAAATAAATTAAGTTTCCAGAGTCCCATGTACCACCACGAATAGCTTGACCGCTACGAGCTAAGTAACGAATAGAGCTAATAACAATTTTAAATACTGTACGAGCTTCTTTTTGTTCATTTAAAGACTGTTCAGTAATTAAAGATATAACAGGACGCTTGTTGTTACGAAAATTTAAATATTCTATTGATGCTCTATGGTTTTCACTTTTTTCGTGTATAGAAAACCGCTCAGTGCCCTTCTTCCAATTTTGAAATCCAGTATCGATAAACGATTCTTGCCCATGAATTTTTATTTTTGTTTTTTTAGTTTGACTGGCCAAAGCACACGGATAACATAAAACAACATTTTTTTCTTTCACATAATGAAGCCAACTAAACGAATTGAACCATTTCAACTGACATGATCTTCCATTTGTTTTAGGGAATACAAAATCATTTTTGGGAATAAATTGTTCAGTTAAATAAATATTAACTTTAGAGGTTTTTGTTTCTGTTATGGGTAGTGATGTAGATGAATAAATGGGGATGATTTCTAATGCTAATTGTTCTAATTGTTTGTTTCTGTTTTCTGTATAAAATAAGTAAAAAATATAAGTGGTACTGACAGATATTAAAAATACATTTTTTAATTTGAAACCAAAACGAAATTTAAAAAAAAAAAGCGAGCAGTGGGGTAAGTGTCAAGTGAATAACAGATTAGGTTTATAACTGATTTGAATTAAATTAAATTTGAATTATTCAATAGGTCAGCGGTACCCAAACTTTTACGACCACGGCACCCTTAAAAAATTGTGTGTGTTTCGCGGAACCCTAATCAAACTCAACTACAATTTTTCTAAATAAAAAAAGGGAAATCAATTCTCTAAACTCTCAAGTCTAAATAATATTTTAATGATACTGTTAATGACTTTTCATTATTAAACTTAGTTTAAAAAAAAATTTTCAAGCAAAAATATTTTAAATAACAAACATTAAATAAACATAATTTTCTCAATAGTCTCATACATCTGGCGGAACCCCTGACATAGTCCCACGGAACCTTAAGGTTCCGCGGAACACACTTTGGGAAACGCTGCAATAGGTCGTAAAAATAATGGTAGTTTACATAAAAACAGTTTACATACCATTGTCTTCAACTGTCGTTTGTTTTGACGGAATCTCGAAAATACCAGGGTCGTCTACGTTAATTTCTTTATCATAATCTAAAGTTGTTGTATACTAACTATTAATATAACTGAATAAAACATAATTAAATAAAAATAATTGCATACCATTTTCTTCAACTGTTTTTGAACACTTTTTAAAAAAATGTGTTATTGTAGAGACTCGATGACGCTTCATCCTAATCAAATGAGTCTTAAAATGTAATAGCAAATAAAATGTAGTTATTTAATAATTATTATGACACGTATATTTGAAATTTTAAAATAAATCTTACTTTTTTTTCACAATTATTCTAGTCTCTCGCACAAGTAATAAACAAAATTACGCAAATAAAAATTTATAATAATACGGCGCGACGAAACTGGCGATTTTTATCACGTCTGTTTTTCCAATGTTCAGGAATAGAACTTCTCTCACACACGCAACGCGATATTGTCGCAAAGACTGCGGCGATAAGAATTGCATGCGATTGAATAATATATTCACATTAGTTTGACAATATAATAATAGAAGTGCGACGCGCATGCCATAGCAGCATTTCTTGGATTTTCCCGGTTATTTTTCCAATCTCTCAGAGCCTCGGTGCAATGTGTATTCTTAGTATTTTAAATTACTAATAGATATAATATATTACTTGCTGAACAAAATTATAGAATAATATTTAGGTATAGTGGGTTAAATGTAAATATAATTAGGCCATGAAGTCGTGGGGGCCTTGCCCCTACAGTATTTATTTTGTGGGGGCAATTGCCCCCACTGCCCCCATTGTTCCGGCGCCCCTGNAAGTAATAAACAAAATTACGCAAATAAAAATTTATAATAATACGGCGCGACGAAACTGGCGATTTTTATCACGTCTGTTTTTCCAATGTTCAGGAATAGAACTTCTCTCACACACGCAACGCGATATTGTCGCAAAGACTGCGGCGATAAGAATTGCATGCGATTGAATAATATATTCACATTAGTTTGACAATATAATAATAGAAGTGCGACGCGCATGCCATAGCAGCATTTCTTGGATTTTCCCGGTTATTTTTCCAATCTCTCAGAGCCTCGGTGCAATGTGTATTCTTAGTATTTTAAATTACTAATAGATATAATATATTACTTGCTGAACAAAATTATAGAATAATATTTAGGTATAGTGGGTTAAATGTAAATATAATTAGGCCATGAAGTCGTGGGGGCCTTGCCCCTACAGTATTTATTTTGTGGGGGCAATTGCCCCCACTGCCCCCATTGTTCCGGCGCCCCTGCACCCCAGCCATATTCAAGGCCAATTCAACACGGTCTTCTATTTTAGTAACAGTACCATCAGATGTTGTATTACTCTATAAGTAAAAATGAAAAATAGCATTAATATTTTTTATTTTAAGATAAACAAAATAAATATATTAAAATACATTACTAGATAATTTATTATTTAGTTTCTAAACGTATAAATTTAAAATATAAACCTATATTCCGGGTGGTTATATACCTACTATTTAAAACACTTATTGTCTTGAAGAAATTTAAAATAACAGAAATATTTATTTTAGATAATTTAAAATCCTTAAAAATGCATTTTTAAAAATCAGTTATATTATTAACTAATTTTAGATTCTGAATAAAGCAATAAATGTATTGATTTTACATTGGTGTGTGAATTTTTCTTTATTTAATTGTGTGGGTCATCAAGTTTTGGGGGAATACAAATGCTTCGATTTTCTTTCTCACCATCTTTTCATCTTTAAGAAAGAAAATTTAATTTAGTTATAACTTGAAAATGTCATCAAATGTTTATTTTATCATTTTCTAATTATGATAATAGTTTCTAAATATTTTGAATTATTTATAGGCATTTTCAATTTTCAATTTTTTCCGTTTTTTCTCTATAAATATCAATAAATAGTTGCTTGTTGTATCAAAATGATTGATCATTTAATACGAGATTCCTCAAAAGTATTTATAATAGCATTTGAGAAATATTAAAGATATTTAGGCATAATAATTTTTTTTTTTTTGTATTAAAAGTTTGAAATCTCTAAAATTTTCAAATTATTTTGTGGTTAAAATGTATTATAAATAATTATAAAATGTACAATTTGTACAATTTGTATACCTAAAAATCGGAAATTTAAAACACGGACTCTCATAAATAGCTTATACTGCAACAAAAATTCTAAAAATATATATATATGTTACAGTTAAAGTGTTGAATCAGTTAGTTTATGAAATAACTAGGTAATTTATAAAATAACTAAAGCCTGTAGGTTACAAGCAATACAACAAATAGCAATATAAATTTATATAATTTATAATTTAACTAGTTATGTTATACAGTCCCTGGCATCACTTCGTTAATGTGTCAAATTGTGAATAACAAAATATCATAACAAATAAATATAGTTCTGACATTTTCAACAATTTAATATAACATATTAAATCAGATAAGATTGACGTCCTTTTATTTTTTATTTTTTATTTATTTGATACCTACCTACACATTATAATTACAGGAGTGTTATTACAAATATACTCTAGATCCCAGTTCACAGTATGTTCAGATAATTTGTTAGCTGTAGAAGCTGTTCCAAATAAAAGTATTACATTAAGATCTGCAGCAACTCCGCAGTCACTGAGAACTGGTCAGGGTTTTTTTAAGTGCACTTGTACCAAAAAATGTGGCACAAAGCGATGTGCTTGTAGAAAAAAGGAGGTATTGTGCAACTCTAAATGCCATAATAGCCTTACATAAACAAATAAATAAATAATATAACTATAGTTAATTCAGTAAAATAAAATTTTAAATTTTAATGTATTTTATAATTTAACGGATATCAAACTGAAATTGTATAGAATAACTGGATATTCTATGAAATAACTAGTTAAAATACAATTTTCATGTATTATTTCATATTTTAACTAACATTTGTATGTAATTCATAAACTACCTAGTTATTTCATAAAATAACAGAATTCAACACTTTAGCTGTAACATACACACAGTTCTTTTTTGCATATATTTTAAGTTCATACTTGGACAAAATTATATATTAAAACCAGGAATAACGATTTTAGTAATTTTGTTCTAAGTTAAAAATATTATTCATGAGTACTTGACATTTTTAGAGTATATTATTATATTATTATTATACACACGATGACATATTCAAATGCGATTTTTTCGACAAAAATTAATCTAATCTACTGTATTGCTATTTACTAATGTTTAATAGTAAAATAAATTACTTTAATCATAATAATATCATAAAATATACCTACTTAGTAATATTATTGGCTGACAGACCATCTTCGCTCAGAATCGTTTTTTTGTATACAATGATTTTAAATTATTGAATTCAAATTTAACACAGCCATTATAGTGACTCGATCAGGGATGGATCCAGGATCTCCCAGACTTATTATTTCCCCAATGTTTTTAATAATTCCACAGATCCTGATATTACTATATTTCAAATTACATGTATTTCTGATAGTAAAATATATTATTATTCGTATCATTCTCAGGTGCACAAACTAAGATAATACTATTTTAGTTCATGGTGGACAGTGATTTCAATATTGTAATTATACATTTACAAAAAATTGTTGGCCTCTCCTCCCAGATTTTTGCTCTAGATCCATGCCTGGACAACAAATGTACAAACAGAGCGTTACCCACTTACCCTCTTTTTTTAATTTCACCATTATCCTTTTTTATACTGTAAATTTAAATTATATTTATGCGTGTTGTTTTTATGGTATTTTTAGTATATCCACAATGTACAACGAATAATTATTTTACAATGTTCCAAGTGATTTCCTTTTTGTTTTAAGCTCAGGTATGGTGTCGTAAGTAAATTATGAACTAAAACGTCTAGTGCATAACACTTTTTGATTTAAAAAAATTCAAGTAATTAAAATTCAAACTCAAAAATGGAGTGGACTTTTTAAGCATGCGTGTTTTAAATTTAAATCTTTCAAAAATAGGTAAAGTATACAATCCTTTTTACAGTAAATAAAAATCCCAAATTAAATTGAACGTCATAAGTTCGAAATATTTTGTGTTACCTGTATTGTTGAACACACAATATATATATATTTATTTTACAAATTTCCCCATTACTATAGTAGATAATAAAGTTGTTCATCTAAAATAACAATAAAAAACCAAAAGTTACAATATTAACTTACGTGCTTGAGAAATATTGCTAAAATTAATAGTACAAACATTGGAGAAAAGTTCATTTTTAATTTATTAAAAAAAATTCTATAGAGTAAAGTTATAAATTTTATCTGTAATATGATAGGTGCGTAAATGAAATGCGGTTTCACGAATAGAATATTATAATATGTAATACAAATTAAATTAAAAATGTTAATAATTATATTTAATGAATACCAATAAACAACACAATTCAAACATTTCTAAATTAATGAAAATGTTCAAAAACAACTCACAAATGCAAATAACTATGTAATACCTATATACCTAGTTATAATGTATAATTGAATTGCTTAGTTAAATTAACATTATAATAATAAGGTGCACATGCGTTTGTATATAACTGTTCTTTGTTAAAGATTCCATAGTTAGAACATGTGCAAAATGTTATCAAACATATTTAATAATTTATCAATTTCCACAACAGTTGAGGTAGGTACATAATTACTTTTCCAACATAATCGTAGATAAATATTACAAATTATACAAGGCATTTTTTAATAACACAATATCGTTATTTGTTCTATTATACTCCATGTTGATACGCATGACTTATTGTAATGTGGCTGTGCATTTTTTAGGTTGGTAAGTAATTTAATATTTATTTGTTTTTTTAATGTTTTGACATAATATAAAATATTATTTACTTTAATACCTTTAGTATATTTAATGGCGACCGTTCGAAGTACATAACTTTTCAGCTTGAAAACAAAACATTTTAAATCATAGAAATTTCATGATGCTCAAACCAAAATAATTTACATAATACTATTTATGTACAGAGGTATTCCCATAGGGTATACTACATAATATACGCCGTATGCTCTCAGGATTTGTTTTCAATACTATGGGTATACTGCGTATGCTCTCAATCATAATCGATATTATACCATTATATCGATCCATATTATGGGATAAATATCTATGATAGATACTTTATTGCAATAACGGTACGTTTTTTCCGTCGAATCATTAAATTATTTATACGATGTATTTATTGTTATATGGTTGGCGGGGTGATAACACACCAGAGTGGAGTTTGCGGGGCTATAACAAACAGGAAATGTCGTATCGCGTACGGTGCAAGAAGTGCTGTGCACAATTAATCACTAATCAGTTTATCCGTTTCCACCAACTCGTAACATTTATAATACATTTATAATTTGTGTGACCTGCAGTTTAACTTAAATTAGCTCTACATTTTAATATTAATAATAATTTACTAACTAAATAGTTAAGATTGACGAGATACACGTAACATAAAGAGGTTATACAAAAAATCTGGTTTAAAATTGTTTCCATATTATTGACACGCTCTTTACCGGCTTTACTTCTATAAACCATAAGAAAAATAGTCTTATTGTATCAAATATTTATATTTGATGGTATAGTATACTCTCAAAAAAATTAATGGGAACACCTCTGTTTATGTAGTATATAACCGCCAAAACGCGGTCCATGTCAATGCGTCATAGAGTCATGCAACTGGCGTCTTAAAATGTTTACTAATAAAATAACAATCGGTACCTAGGTATTATTCCTTTTCCTGCTCTTCGTTTCAT